ATAATAGAACATAAGATCCTAATGAGATAATTGACAGTGTGAAATAGGAAGAAAAGGGCTAAAGGTGTAGGGAAAGTGGGAAGGGTAGGGGAAAGTTAGTAAGGGAAAAGAAAAAATATGGGAAAATGAAAAAATGGAAATAAAGTGTTTGTAAACAGGGAGGGGAGGAGGGGTGAAGGGAGGGCAAGGACAAGGGGAAAAATGAGAACCAAGACCTGTGGTGTAAAGGTACAAGATCCCAATAATGAATGTAACTGTACTGTATACCTAAAATCTACCAATAAATTCAATGAGGAAAAAAAAAAACCAAAACCAACCAACCAAACAACAACAACAAAAAAACACCGTCTATGGGGCTCTGCCTAATTGAAACACTAGGTGGCAGTATTTTCACAAAATGATCTCAAAAACACTAAAAATGAGTATGCTTTATTATAAGATGAATAATCAATCCTATTTAACTGCTGATGAATAAAAGGGTAATCTGTCTTCAATGCATCACCAGAACAGCCTGTGCTCAATGTTACAACACACACACACACACACCCCAAAAACAGAATGCCCGAAATGATTCCGTAGATAAAATTTTTAAAAAGGCTGTTGCTTCACCTGGTTTTCACTTTCATGCATCATTTTATTGGTATTTAAATTTGTTCAATAAATCAAATGAGATAAAAATCTTAATTTATTTGACTGATCATTGAGTATAGGACCAGTATCCAAAATAATAATAATTATGAAGAGCTATGGTAGGAAACCATTTTTACATATTATCACCAGAAAGTGAACTTCTCATTAAGAGGTTACCAGAGACAGAAAACTGACATCCGGTGTCATGGACACACGAATGAACTTGGAAATGTGGTGTTCCCAGAGTTCTGGATTTAGGCTAAATACGACACAGGCATTGATTTCTTTTATAACTCCTGAGACCGGAAGGAGATCTCACTCCAGGCTGCTCAGGAATACTAAAGGGTGACAAGTTTACAACTAACTTTTTCTGGGAAAAAAAGTATTATATTTCTACTGATTGCATTGGTATAAGAAGAGTACAAGTTAATAGCATAACACATTCCCTGTCTGTTGACCTTCACAGTATTTTAACTCTTATTCAAAATTTGTAATTAAAGAAAAGTTGTGGTAAGGAAATTTGACAGGTTTTCTTCTTCTGAAAGTTACACTATCGCAAAGAAAGCTATAATAATTCCATCAAAAGTATGTTTTTAAATCAGAACTAAAATTCTCAGGAGGATGAAAGTAAAAGCAGGCTAATCATAGTAGCCCCAGATTAAAACCAAACTAAATGCCCAGCTAGAGGGAACTGGTTTTTCAAATCATGCTGTGTCCAAGTAGCCCAGTCATGTTGTTAAAGTGCAGTTGGTGCGGAAATGATGTCCACATTCAGCACGTGTTGGGTGAATAAATAAAGTAGATTATACAAGAGTTTTGAGGTGTGAAAAATAGAGGGAAGAAAAAAAATACAGGAAGTACAGCAAAACATCAATCTTGGTGATAAAATTATGGGTGATTAAAAAAAAAAAAGAAGCATAAAGATGTGTGTCTGGCCCTTGACCTTTTTTCCTGGTTTTCAATATTCACTAAACATTAATGTTCAAAACTAATATTTTAAAATTCAAAATATACACAAATAACTTTGTAAAAATCACATCATTTGTTAAAAGTAAAGCCTCTTTGACTCTGTTAATTCTTCCTCTTTCCTGGAAGTAACTCCTATTGTTTCCATCTAGATCTTTTCTTATGAAATGTATTATAAATATAAATGTTACAAAATATAAAATACGTACCGTTAGGAAGTCTAAATACTACCTTGATGTTTTTGAAACTATGTAGTATCAAAGTTTGTGCCTTGTTCAGCGGCGTCTTATTCCTAAGTTTTAGTTTGGGGTTGTTTTCATGTCCGCTTCATTACAAACAAGGCTGCAAGGCAGGCCCTTGCAGAGGACCCCTGTCACATGCCTCCCTGTGAAGCTACTGATGAATAGTTTGCAGGTCCATTTATGGAAATGTCCCCGTTTTCCTCACTGATCTGAGAGGCTACCATTAGCACACACTAAGTTCCTATGTGTGTCTGTGGCAGGATTTTCTCATCTACTGAAGTCTTCCAAGTCCAAGCTCATTTAATCACAGCTTTATAGTGTACCTTGTGATGTCTGGTGGGGAAGTTTGTACTTTCCCAAACTGTGTAGGCCTGTTCTTCCATATGAACTCTATTATTAGCTCATCCAGCTCCTTTAACAATATTGAGATTTCTATTAGGATTACATTATATTCAGAGATTGATCTCAGGCATATTAATTAGCATTATAATATTGAACCTATGAATATATTGCTCATTAGTTGAAGGCTCACTATAGTAATGGTCTTAGGTAATCTTGTGTGAGTTACCCCTAGGTAATTTCAGTTTTTGTTGATACTGTGAATGGGATAATTTTCTTATAATTTTTGGTTAGACTGGTAGGAAAACCACTGACTTGAGATGCTGATCTTTTTTCTAGCTACCTTATTAAACTCCTTTTGGTTTTAATACTGTGTCCTCCACCGAACTGTGACCTGTGTTTCTGTGTCTTTGTTTGCCCCACCACTTCTGCCAATTTCTTCCTGCCCTCTGTTATAGTTGCTTGCCATCGTTCCCAATGAAGTACCAGGACCATTTTGTCTCACCCAGACCTCCAAATCTTTCAGATCACTCTGTAGGCTTTGAAAATTAAAGTTTAAAGCAACAAAAAACATGGCACTTTTAATTAAAATAAAGTACATTGGTTTTAGAAATCTCATAAAACACTAATCTGTTGTATCCCTAATCTGCTTCAATACAAGTCAATCTTAAACAGCAAACGATCTTTGTTTCTCAAATACTAACATCCAGAACAATGGTTTGGTTCATTCAAATGTACTCTAGTATTCATTTTGTTTTTTGGTACCAGGGATCGAACTTGGGCCCTTATGAGGTAGGTGGGAACCACTGAGCCAAATCCCCAGCCGTTGTCACAGCTTTTTATATATATACATTTAAAAATATTTTAGATGTCAGTTTAGAAATATTCATTATTCTGCTGTATGATTTCATGAAATTTTATCTAAACTCTGCACCTACATCTTCAAAATCAGTGACAACCTAAGAACCACTTTTGCTAGATTATATATTTTCCCTTATAAGTGATTTGAGACACAACACAGTTGAATCTATAAGTGGCGCCCCTTCTAGAATTTTATCCAAGATAAGTATCCTTGCATGCGAATTTCTTTCTCACGTACTGTGTATGCATGATCTCCACAGAATAACTACTAAATATATTTGATGTAAACTCCACTGAAATACAATGCACATTTAATTGTATAAATCTTGTATATGGCCTGATAAATTTTCAGAGTGCCCCTACTCATAGTAACAATGACCTGGAAAGATCTTGCTCTCCACTAGTATCCCAAAGGTATGTTCATGCCACCACCAATCATCTCCTTGAGCCTCATTATGGGCAAAGTGGCCTGACATCTAACACCATGGATGAGTTTCACTTGACCTGAAGCCTTGTATGAAAAGGCACATGGTCTGTACAGAATATAATTTCTGGTGTGGATTCTTTCACTCCAAACTGTCCGAGACTCTCCCGTGTTGCTGTACCTAGTTGGAGCACGTTCATTCAAATGGAATATCACACTGTATGGGTGACTCACTTCAGTTTTATCATTATCATGCAGATGGGCATTCAGCCTATTTCCAGGTTTCGGCTTTTATGAATAGTGCTTGTAGGTGTATTTCTGTTGGTTGTATTTTGGAGCTGAATTGTGTAGGACAGATGTGTTCAATTTTAGCAGACACTCACGTTACCATACAGCCTTCCCAAAACTTGGAATTTTCTGCTTTCTTGACATGAGGCATTTGGTTGGGTGTGAGGTTGAATTTAACTGTAGTTCTACTTACATTTGTCTCACGAAGTTTATTTTTCATTGCTAATAAGATATTTATGTCCTATTTTGTGAAGAAATTATTCGGATTTCTTTGCACATTCTTTGATTTATGAAATACAAACTTCTGGCAATTCTAAAATGAGATACAAGTAATTTGTTAGATACAGGTATTTTAAGTATCTCCGCCCTCTTTGTGGCTTGTTTACCTTAATGATGGCTTTATTGTACTATAGGGTATCTAATTATCAATTTTAAATAAGGAAGAGAAAATCTGGTGGACCTCAGAAGACCCACACATTCCCAGCAGCTCACACCACCGTGTACGCATGGCTGTCCCACAGGATGGTGAGAGAATCCCATCAGGGAGTACGAGCTGCTCGATGTGGCAGCCACACATGTACCACGGATGGTTCAAGACACGTGGCAGCGACACATATAAATTGGGGCCCTATCACGATTGCATTAAAAGCAAGACAGATTTTCCCAGGAAAGAAATTTCATCTGTGGACAAGAGCTTGATCCCAGAGCCGGAGTTCCCTCCTGGCTGTGATCTTCCCTTCCTCACAGCCAGCCTGACTTCAGACTTGCTTAGGGAGCTCCCACAGTCACAGAACACAATCTCATAAACTAATTCTTTGTTTAAAATTTTTTTTTTACTGGGCTGGGGATTTAGCTCAGTGGTTCTGCTGCCTGCCTCACAAGCGCAAGGTCCTGAGTTTGTTCCCTGCTACCCCCCAAAAATATTTTTTTACTGATAAACAGGCAGAAAAAAGCATGAATTGTGATCTTCCCTTCTAGAGGCCACAAGATTAGAATTATCTTGTGTGCAGCTCATTCTAGGATTCAATCTTCATTATTATTTAAATTGTACTAAATTTTGTACTATATTTACATGAAGAGTACTAGTTTTATAACTTTAATAATTTAATGTCTTCTTTGACTACCATTTCGTATTCTTACTGAATGTTTAAAATGAGTAACCTTTGTACTCTTACACAGAAAAAAAAAGTTACCAAAGCAAACCTATGTTCTAAAAAGATTTTCTATTAAGTTTGCAAAGAAACATAACTTAGTATTTACCCCGCCCTGCCAAGAAAAAAAACAACAAAAAAACCAATTACTTTTCTTGGTGATCTCATCGAATTTCTACATGATACCAAATTCTATATGATACCAAATTTCTAAATATGATCTAGGAAAAACACTTATTTACAGTAACATAAAATTTGTCTCCTTGAGCCATTTTAGACTGAATTTATTTCAGTAAATCCCTGACTTACAAACATCTGAGTTGCAAATTTTCAGAGAACTGACCTTGCATTAGGAACACTGTTACCTTCCCATTGTCTATCTTACCAGCATCTACTTTACCATTTTAAGGTAACTGCAGAAGTAAAACTAGTTACTTACAGTATTTTTGTTAGATTTTTTTTATGCTTTATATTGCATATTTTTACATTGTGTCAAAGGTGTATAAGACTCGCTTTGTAAGACTTACAAATGGATTTAATGTACAAAAGTTCTCCCAGAATGGAACTCGTTCATAAGCCCAGGGACTTACTATATTTAAGACTTATCCCAAAACCCAGTGCTCACAGATTTATTCAGCTCAAAATATAAGAAAAAAAAAATCATCAGACTGGAGTTTAGAAACTTGTTTTCTAGCCTTAGCTGTCCCACAGAAATAATGATGGGGTACTCTTTTCACTTTTCTGAGCCTATTTCCTTTGTCTATAGCTGACAACCTGTAATTAAATGCTTCCTAGAAACCGCCAACAGTCCATGACTTTACTGCTGAAAGTCTGAAAAGAGAAGGGAGTCTGGGCTAAATAACCTGTAAACTTTCTGTTCTTGAGTTAATATTTTATTATTTTCAGGATTATACTCATATTCTGTGATCTGAGATTAATCATAACAAAGACTTCCAAATGACAGCAAAAAAGTTGTGAAGTATCAAAGTTTTCCTATGTGAACACTGGTAAAAATAACTTTTAAAATCAGAAGCAGGTTTTATGTATTCATTCAGAAGGTGATTCAAATGTAGAAAGAAACTTTTTTTAGCATTATGCAGTCCCATATTTAACAATGTTTTCTTCTCAGCAATTCTTTTATTATAACTTTTATAATCCTGAAGAGATTCTTTCATCTGAAGTTTTTCATGCATTCAGGTATTTTGCATGATGTCTGATGTGATCAGCAATAAAGGTGGCAATGAAGTAGTAACTATGATCATAACCCTAGAAGACAGAATACAGAGATGATAAGGCATTTATCTACCACTCAGAAACATTAATATTAGGGGCAATAAACGTACCTTAAATGTACAAGCAAATTTAATTTACTTGTAAATAGTCAAAATATTACACCATAAGTTTTAGTCAAAGTCAAAGCCACCCACCTCAACCACAATTTAAAAACAAGGTAGAAGAAACTAGAAGAATGAGTATTTTTTAAAGCTTTAAACTTAACTAGCAAATAGAGTGTGAAAATAGGTCTAATAAAAATATCATGGTGTTTCCCCACAACTGTGATCAATCAGTAACTGCTCTAAATCTCTTGCTTCCAGAGAGTTATGGCACATACATTTTAGGAAAGCAGTTAGTAACATAAAAGCAATCTGTCTTCCAGATTCCATGGCTCAGCCTTGGAATCATTTGGTTACACACCGCTCAATAATTACACTAGCACGAGCTGGTTAAATTTACACCTAAAGAAAGAAATTTAAAGAAAAGCATGTTCTATTCACATCATTCTTGAATTAATAAGTTACACAGGTCTATGATTTTTAGGTCATACAACCTGTGAAATGCAGGAAAAAGCAGTGACTGCCATTTTTCACAGATCAAAAGATCAATATGGTAGAAAATAGCTACAGAAGCTGCAGAGGAACTGCATGACAAAACGTCTAATGCGGTTTAGTGTGCCGTATTTTCATCCTTCCTTTCTCATACACCAAGTGTCTGGCAGTTTTATATGCATGATGGACAGCTGTTGTTAAAGCTGGCAGTGTAATTAGAGAAGTCCCAGGGTACACCAGCAAGCCAATTTTCAACTTTCAGGAATGTGCTGCAGGATAACAGTGTATTTCCTCTAAAATCCAAAGCAAATGCCCTTAACTTCCATAATAATATTTAAAGTTAAGAGTCACCTTTATGAGAAAGTATAAAATGCCTGCTTTGAAAGACCATAAAAGGATTTTTTAAAATGTCAACATACAGGCAAAAGAATACATCTGAACTACTGGCATTCTGCTGAACTTACATAATTACAAATAACTATGTCATCTTGGCTAGTTTCAAGTTCTTCTTAACAGTCTTATTAAATGAAAGCAGCTGCTTTCATTACATTCTTTGACTAACAGTTTGTTTGGTGTGTTATGCAGCTTCTGTAACTGCCTATATTCAGTGACACTTGAAGGGGCCTTACTTTCCTCCACCTCACACTTTAAATGGAAAAATCTTCAGTAGCAAAATCTGACTTCTGGAATATAAAAATAGACACATTAATTCATTCTTTATTCAACTCTCAAAAAGGAAGGAGTATCCCAGCAGCCATGACAGACATTTATTCTAATAGGCAGTGCTTTTCTATATATTTTCCAGACCCAATTAGAAAAGTTTATCCCCACGTTGTTAGATCTCTTCAGAGTACAAAGAAGAGTGAAAGGTATACATTTGTTTATCTAGCAAACACCAAGTGTCTATGCGCCAGATAAGTGCTAAACATGGGGACAGAGATGAGCGAGAGCCCTTCATTTCTGGAACTCTCTGTTCTTATTCATGTCTGAGAGGCAGATGCAAAGGCCAAAAAAGCCTTTGAATCTTAAAAAAGATCCAGAGACTTGAGGAGGTATATAGCCTCTGATCCTAGTCTCCAAGAAAGGAAAGCTATTTCTGGAAGTTTCCTCAGTATTAAATCACTGAATTTTCTTGCTATGTAACTTCAACTACTAAAGATATGACATACATAATGAGCCCTTCCTTCTTTTTCAGGCTGAGATTTGATCTCTGTATATAGCTACTGAAATTTTGCTACTTATTGCTAAAAAAATTTAAATCCCTGAGGCCAAAAAATAAAAAGTACACAAAGTTAACAAATAAATATTCCCTTACATTAATTCCTCCCTCTCAAACAACTTTTTATTTTTTGACAGCTGACAGGGTATAAATTGTGAGCATTTAACACCATTAAAAAAGATGTAATAAAATACGGTAAATCATGTACATAATTATAACAGTTTTCTTTCTCCCTTCTTAGTCACTTATTTATATATACACCCAGGTTATTTTCAACTTATTTTATTTTTTTCACAGCTTCTGTTTCATGAAGAAATAGTTATGCCACATTAATAATCAAATGATAAAGCAGATGGCAAAACTCCTAGACCTGAGGTAGCCTGAGGTCAATGCAAGCTGACTGGAGAATCTGAAAGCAGCCCCCTCTGCAATCACTAGTGAGGCAGTTCCATTTGGTTGTTTCGATGACAATAAACTTAAATGCAGCCTGGATGAGACCTTCACCCTTCCTGACAAAGGTAGAGAGACAGTGAATAAAAAATTGTGCCTGAGTTCAAGGCTGTGATGATGATTTTAATACTTGTCAGACTTTTTTTTTTTTACAATTTCCTGCTCTGTTTTGACTTCTCATAAATTCAGCCAACCACATTTTTGTTAGCATTGCTTGGGACACAGGCATCTTAGAAATAAATAGGTTGATTAATTTGTTACCTCCAAGAATGTGTCTGTGTTTTAACTCTAGGCTTTCTTAGTAACACACTCCAGGGATTTCCAGACTTTGTTGGCAGGCAGAAACTTTATAGAAATAACAGTATTTTCTGGCACTGTCTCATGGGAAGTAGGTAAGATATCCAATAGGGCTAAGGCCAAGAAGGTAAGCTTACTTGGGAAAAAACATGGTCACTTATAGCTATAGTTAATGCAGTTAAACTTACTACTGCATTTGTAATCAAATTCATATTTGGATTTCTTGAAGTTGGTTGTTGATCATTAAATGTTATTCTGATATCAAATGTTTAAATAAATATAAAAAGTGCTATTATATAAGGGACATTACTCACAAAGACAACAAGATCTATGTATCTGTAGTACTGGTTTTTGATATACTTTCCCACATTATATATATACATACAGTGTTCACATGTTAAACTATCCCCATAAATGAGGAGATTGCTATGATCTGTTGCCTAAGTTAGAGAGGTAGCAGGTTACACACAATCCACCCATTTGTTCCTTAGGAGCATATCACACTGTCTGGAAATGGCTAGACAGACGATAGAAAAGAATCTTCAGTCATGGCCTTACTTTAGTCCTAGTTCTATCAAATACTAGCTGTTTGACCTTAGATAAGTATGCTACTTCTCTGACCCTCTCTCTATAAAGCAAATAGTTTGCAAATGAGTTAATGTGGCACTATTTTGTAAACTTTAAAGGGCCACCTTACACAACAACTAGATTATGAAGTTACTATCAAGACTATATTTTATGTCAGTGTTCCTGACACATCACTCTTAAAAACAAATAGAACTGTTTTTAAAAATTATGATCACATGGTTTTCAGTGTACATTTTCACTCTAAAATATAGATTTTATTTATATTATGTTCTAAAGCTTATGAAATTTTTTTAAAAACCCAAAGTTTATACAAAACTAAAGTAGCATAAATAGTCAAAAGTATTTTAGTCAAGGAAAACTTGTGGGCTGTAGACAGAGCAGCAGGAAAGTCAAATGTAAAGTGCCTGAGTTTGCATGATGATTAAGACTCTCAACTTTTGTTTGTGAAAAATTTGGTTTGCAAACAAGTGTTTGGCAAAATTTTGCTTTTGTGTATGAACTCTGCATCAGAGCTACCTTTACTGCATGAACATGAATGTGGCCATCTTTTCCAGAATTGGGGGTTGAGGATTTAGCTCAGCGGCACCATGCCTGCCACTGTCAAGTTCGATCCCCAGTACCAAAAAGTAAAAAAAAAAAAAAAAGCACAGAATTGGAACAAATTAAGTTTGTGAACCAAGGTACCCTATATGTGATTTTACTTTTACTACCAAATTTTATATAAATTATATTTTTCTAATGAAAATAAAATGGAAATGCAGATTTCCAAAAAACAAAAACAATAAAACACAAAATTATCTTACTGGATGTAGCATTTTATACTTTAAAATAAAGGCAATAAAGAACTATGAATCTTGCTGTTTTATAGTTACAGTATTTAGATCAAACTAGGATTTCCTATTACTTGCCTCTTGTAATCTAAAAACAACAGGGATTTTCTTTTCTGTACAAGCAGTGATGAAGTTATCTGGGAGTAGCTGTCCATCTGAAAGGAACTGGTCATCTTTTCCTTGATCAATCAGTATGTCCAGCTGAGAACCTGGATAAGACTTCACAAGATGGGTTGCATCATAAGTCTATAAAAAGAGAAGAAACAACAGGAGAAAAATGTAGTCTTAAACTATCTTTCATGATTGGAAATTATGTTTTTACGGCTATTATCACATACAGTTGTCCCTCAGTATCAGTAGAGGATCAGTTCCAGATTCCCCAAAGATACAAAAATCTATGGATGCTCAAGTCCCTTATGTAAAATGGCAGAGTACTTTTACATGACCTATGAACATTGTTTGGTACACTTTAAATCATCTCTAGATTACTCACAATACCTAATGCAATGTAAATGCCATGTAATAGTTGTTTTACTGCCTTGTTTAGAGAATACTGAAAAGGAAAAGAAAGGCCTGTGAAGTTCAGCACAAATATAATTTTTAAAAAATTTTTGGGGTAAAATCCAAATACAGAAAACCTTCAGATATGGAAGGCTGAGTATATACACACTTTTCTAATTATTCCCAGCTCTCAAGCCTTGAGTGGGCCAGGAATATAATAGCTGCGTAGGTGGCTTTTTAGCAAACTTAAAAATTTAAGAATGAGTATCAATAATTATTCAGTACCTACCTTCCATTTACTTTCATCCGTTCCCAGATATCCAGTAAAGGCTTTCTTGCCCCAAGGACAGAGCACTGGGTTGCAAATTGGAGCAAATGCTGACACAGACTTCAAAAGCAAAAAAATTTAAAATTAAGTTGTGTCTTGCTAAACCAAATACAGACACTTACAACTTGCTGAGAAACTAACTTGTTACAAGAACTCTCACGAACAGCTTTCCTCCTGACATATACAGAACTCAATTGTTCTTCATGACTTTTCGTCATAGTGAATCTTTTGTGTATTCTATTAAGAGATCTCCTAAATGTTGTTGCTTAATGCAAAGCCATGCATTACAATTTAATTAACATGCAAGTGGAAGTTTATATTGTTTCTTCTTGTTTTTTTCCACTGAATATTAGTCTGTAGTAACATAAAACTACATTTGAGACATTATTTCTCTTAAATAGTGCCAAGAAAGTAGAAAAGAATGCCTTTCTACTATATATGACTGAATTTGTGATACTATTTTGTTCTTTGTATTATTTTGTATTCCACAGGACAAGGTATACAGATGATCTTTCAGCTTTAGACTATTTATTAATGTACATATTTAACAGTGTCTGCGAGCTTCGGTAAAGAGAAAACATTTAAGTCCACCTTCTCAAATTCTGACAATAAGTTAGTTGTCTGCCTTGTTATACAAAAACATGGAAAATAAAAGCCTTATTTTGTACTTTTATGAAATTGCTATGAGAAATATTTTCATGTCTCAGTAGCACACATGAAATGATTCAGAAATCTTTCCTATGGGAAATAAATAAACTAAACAATATTGAGATAATGAATGACTTGACTCTGATTTTAAAATCAGAAGCAATCCTAAAATGATCACTGCTTTGACATTTCCTTTTCAACTCTTGTAATGTCTTCTGTGCACTATATGACTCTCTACATATAGTGGTTATTCAGATTTGGCTCACTTAAACCAAAAATATGAGGAGGTGTAAAGCTTCAAATAAAGAGTGGAGAAGGCTGAGAATGACTTTTTTCCAATCGAGCTGTATTTTAATTTCATTAGCTACATTAAGAACATAAAATTCTGGAACTTTTACAAATCATGAATACGTTCCTTTACCTCAAAATCAAAGTCAACTTTACAAAGACAACTACTAAAAATATTAAATATGTGATAGATACTATCACAGTAACATTAATCAAGAATAACAACACACAGAGGAGAAAATGTGCTTGAAAAGGCCATGAAAAAGCTAAGCTACATTTTCCAATACTTCTAAGGAGGCCAATGGAACACTTAGGTTGTGACTCTGTATCATACATCATTTGATACAATACATTATTGCATTTCATATTCTCTGACAACTGGCCCAACTTTCCAAGCCTAGAAAATTTTAGCTCTGTTACAAAGACAACAGTATCATAATTTCAGTCTTTGCAAGTTCCTAATACTATATTATTCAAGAGAAATACTTATCACTAGAAAATTAGGTGATCTTACCTTGTATTTTCCAGGGTTTTTCAAAGCACAAATCAGTGCTCCATGGCCTCCCATGGAGTGGCCAAAAATAGAAATCCTTTGGGGGTCCACTGGAAAATTGGCATTTATGAGTTGGGGAAGCTAGGAAAAATTTAACAGTATGACAAAATAGCAGAGAAAATAGGTTTAGACTTCTTCAAAGTTAAGGAAAATAATTACATAATCAATACCTCCAAGTCAGTCTTACAATGCTTGAACTGATAAAGATTAAAAGAAAAAACAACCCAGGCAGACAATAGTTATTATGTATTTATTGGACAATACATGGTACAGACTTCTTTTTGAAACAGGCTTTCAATTATGCTGTCCAGGCTGGCCCTGAGCTCATGACCCTACCACCTGAGTCTCTCAAGTAGCTGGGATTACAAGTATGTACCAACACATTCAGCTGGTACAGTCTTCTTCAAGAACAACTTTAGGAAGTTAGGAAGACAATGCTTTTTAAACTTTTCACATGGTAACTTCACTGGGAAAATCTTAAGGAAAGTCCTTAAGGGAAAAAATGCTCAAAGATAATGCAATATTTGTTATGGTAAGAAATACACACAAAAACATAAATGCCTTAAGAAAAAAAATTAAATTATAGTATGTGACAATATGCAAATTATTAAATTAGAATACTGGAAAATATTTTATAGCTCTAAAACACTATGATAAAAATTTTATAATGATTTGAAAATTAGTCATAGAAAAGATCTGGAATATACTGAAACATAACTTTGGTCTAGGATGTGAGAATATGGAAGATTGAAGGCTAGAGAAGTAGCTTAGTGGTAGAATGCTTGCCTAGTATATGTGAGGCCCCTGGGTTACTCAGCACCAAGGAGGAAAAAAAAAAGAAAAGAATTTAGGTCATTCACATTTTAATACTGTTTTGAATATTTTATTATGTATATAATAAAATCATAAAATTTAGATGAATGCATAAATTGCAATCAGGATTATTAATAAAGTAATATTTTATCATTTTTCCTTTCTAACTAAGCTTTGGCTTATCACTAGAAAGTATCTCTGAATGAATCAGATACTAGGAAATGACAGGTTGTTTTACATACTATTTTCTTTGCTGATCTGGGTTGAGTGCAGGGATCTCAATATAATTATTTAATTCTTTAAATATGCACTTAATGTTAATTTAAATTGCAGCAAATAAGACTATAATACTAGTAAACTTTGGAATTTCCATTTTTGATCATTTATAAAAATGTATAAAATACAGGCCAGGGATTTAGTTCAGTGATTCTGACACCTGCCTTGCAAGTGGAAGGCCTTGAGTTCGATCCCCGGTCCCCACCTCCAAAAGTATAAAATAAAGTCATCATTGTATAACCTAATTTAAAACTGTCAGGACTAGAAGGGCTTTGATATAAAATTGAACTCTTGGCAGTCATCAGTTAGTAATTATAATACAAATAAAATTACCTCCTCTGTTACATAAGAGTACATTCTGTAGTTAGTTTTCCAAGGATCTTCAGTGGCATTCACGTAAAACCCTGCTCCAGTGCCGAAGTCCCAGCTATCATCTTCTCCTTTAATATGGCATTCACCTATCAAGGAAATTTCTTATGCTTTCATCTACTCTGTAGTAATTCTGCATGTTTAATAACACTTCTAGATGAATGTGCAAGCCTACTTGCATTAGTGCTGTTCATCACATACTGTGAATTATATTTCCTAGATCTCTTGTTTTTTGAATGGAGCTAGTTCTGGCAATGAAGTCAGAATGATTTAAAAGGGCTTATATGCTCTTTATCTTTCAGGACTGTGTAGAAATTCCTTCTCAAATGAGCCTTCCCTACTACTAACCCTTCTTTTACTTTTCTTAACACTATGATCTTAGAAGGAAAGGGAGGCACATGTTTGTTCTTTATCTTGAACTGAAAACAGCCAATAGCCAATATACTTCAAAATCATTGCATCCTGCTTCCCCTATTTATTCACAATATGGTCTTTTAGTCATGATGTCACTTGAAAGATTAAGAAATAAGAGCAAAAATATAAACTGTATAATGCATATTATATTGGTTATAACTTAGAGTTACAAGATTAAAATTTTATAAAGGATTTCTGGATACTCACGAGGGCTAGTATCTGGAGCGATGACAACAAGGCCATGTTCTGAGGCAGCTTGATGATAACCAGATTTTGATATAAAATTTTGCTCTGTGCAAGTTAAACCTTAAAATAAAAAATACTGTTATGCTATACTGTGGATGAGTTTAATTATACTGTAAACTGTAATTTTTTATAATATAAAAACAAATAATACTATTTTTCAAAAATAACGATTTAGAATAATAATTTAGAAATGATTTTGAGTAATATACTTAAGTTCCTTTCTTAGGGAATTTTCAACAGTATTACTCTAAGAACTGTTTTAGATTAGATGATACCATACTATCCTCCTAAAGTCACTTTTAAGTTTCAATTACGGAAATTCTTTGGTCCAGATGTACTTGGAAATTTGGAATTTTTAAAACTGAAGAACTGTCACACTGTATAGGGGGCATATGCCCAATATTAAGACAGCCTCAGTGAGGTATCAGCAAACATGCTAATTAAACATGTGACTAAATATGTACGGTAAGTGGGCTGATACTATGGCTATAATAACATAAAAAGCTTACTGTTTTATGTACAGGTAGTTCTTAGCAACAAAATTAAGCCTACATCATGTTATCTCTCACTGAACTAAAACAAGAGCGATGGTGACCTTCCTAAATTCAGTTTTTAGAATCATTTCTGTCATTTTTCCTAGTACTGAGATTTTCAGACAGGTGATAGCAGATGACATAATTATCTCACTGCAGGTACTTAAGACTATAATGATGTGAGAATGGCCAAGAATGAACTTGCAACAGATGCTTGAGCTAAATATTACCTAACACAATAACTGTTCTCTAGTGGTCAATATTAAATGTCCTATTATATTGATAATTAGTGACACCAAAGCTTACCAATAACCATGATTCAATATAAGTAATCTATAAAATACTTTTCTGGTTGCTAATTTTAACAGTGCAGTGACTTATAAAGTCGTTGTCCATGAACATTTGTTAAATTAGAAATAAGAAACAAACTTATAAGTATCAACGTAGGAGTTTATGATTCAATTCTGTTAAGACTGTCACCAGTCATGGCAGACCAACAATTATCCATCCCATTCCTTCTGGTACATTTTCCAGAAATATTGGAGCCAAAGCACGAGCTTAATTAAATGTGTTCAAAGGAGGCAGGGTTGGATTTCAGACAGGATCTGGTTCTAAGTGTTATTCAGCTACTTACTAACCAACCATTTTGAATACTCTAATTCTTAATTCTTTCACTTGAAAATTGGGACCACCATGAGTTTTGGGCTAGCCTGGGATACATAACAAGACCCTGTCTCAAAAAAACCAACCAAACAAACAAACAACCCCTCCATCCCCAAATGGGGATAGTACTGCCTTACTGTACTTCATAAGAAGAGTAGGCATGATTGCATCACTACAAATGAAGATTTTTTAATTGTGTCTAGGACATAGTGCAGTCTTGTACATGTAAATCAAAAAAATTCATTTTTTTGTAGTTGAAGCATAAATTCTTTAAGTTAGAAGGGAGTAAAACAGATAATTCAGCTAGAAGAATTATTCTGAAGCGTATGTAGTTACTGATTAAAATTGACTTGATCAACTATACCTCTTTTAAGTGAAAAATTGAAAATGTTTTGGTAATACTGAGGCGTTGAATTCACTGGTTGTTTGTATATTCACTGTGGTGCATCCATCACCACTAATTTTAGAATATTTTTCGTCATCTCAATAAGAAACCCTGTACCTTTAGAAGTCACTCCCCGTTTATCCCATTGCTCTTTCTCAACCCTGAGTAAGCACTATTCTATTTTCTGTCTCTATAGATTTGCCAATTCTGGGCACTCATATAAATGGAAATAGTGAGTTCTTTCACTTAGCATAATGTTTTCAAGGTTCATGCATGTTTTACCATGTATAAGGACTTATTACAGTACTTTCTGTTTTAAAAAATTATGGATACAATCCTTGTCATTATTTTCATTTAACTTACTGGCAAGTCAACGTGAAATTATTTTGCTATCATTCTTAGACAATCGTACTTTTTTCAGGCAATCTTAATTTTTTTCAGAAACTCAACATTGAATTTCTAAGGTGTATATACTCTTCTGCATCTTGCCGTCTATTTTAAATAAACAAACAAAAATTCTGCATTTTATACTCAAAGTTCAGATGATATGTCTCAGTGGGTTTCCATTTTGGTTAGGAATTTGAGGCCTTATTATATAGTGATGATGACACAATACCCTGCTACTTCTTATTTGGGTTTTTTAATCTTTAACCAAAAGATATGACATTAAGTAGCTCTTACCAGAAACAAAATGCAGCAAAAATGGCACAAGAGACTGAATACAGGACCAGAACATGAGTCCAAAACCATTATGTGACACTAAGCAGAATATAGCTTCTTTGGCCTTCAGTTTCTCTCTATGAATTGCATGGTTTCCAAGATCAGCTTTAGCTACACAGTGTGTTTTCTAAACTAATTAAGTATCTAATTTTGTTGTAATACTCTATTAGTGAAATCAGTATTCTTCATTTAATCACAGAAATGTTTTGTTTAGTTAAAATCAGATAAACACTTATCTTTTACCTTTTAAAATGAAATGTATAGTCTAGTTTTCAAAGATTGGCATTTGGGTCTTATCCCTAATGAAATACTACATACATAGGCAGGATTTGTTAAATAAGCATCGTAAGTACATTTTTTAAGGAAACAAAACAGTACTCTATAAAACAATTTAGCTGTTTTTATTCTCTCTGAAATATTTACTTCTAAAGATAAAGCACTAATATCTTCTGAAAGAAAAGTTAACATAGAGGTCCCAAAGTACCTGTGTTAATGTCTTCCTCTCACAATCTATTCTACATCTGATTAAGAAGCACTAGTATTGCCAGGGATTTAGCTGCCCAGCAAGCACAATGGCCTGAGTTCAATCCCCAGTACAATTAAAAAAAAAAAAAAAAAGAAGCTTTAGTGTTATCTGTAACTTATAGATTGTTGCCAGAGAAGCTCTGTGGCATCAAATTAAAATATTATATAGGAAAGGGCTGGAGATTTGGCTCAATGGTTTCACTGCCTGCCTCACAAGCGCAGAGGTCCAAGTTCAATCCCCGGTACCAAAAAAAAAAACAAAAACAAAACAAGAAAATAATATACAGAACAGTGTAGAAGTTACTAGTCTGTGGTTTCCAATAATGTGTCATGGTGCCCTAGTTTCCTCTGACTGTTAAAGTCATTTCAAACTCCAGCGATGCTTGAACAGATATAAATTAAGTAACTTTTCCAAACCCTTATCACTAAGTCCAAAACTTTATATTCTCTGCTAAATTACTTGGTTTTAATTGAAAAAATGTGAAATAAATCTAATTCCATAGGCCTGAAATTATTCTCAAGCGTTGCAAAGCAGACTATAACAGGCCACTAATGTGTTTCATAAATGGATTAGAAAGCGTATCAGTAAGTCAAAATAAAAGGGTAGGACAAGCCAGTTAACAAGAAATAAATTCCTTTATAAGACTCAAACACATAATACTTACCAGAAAGCCAATACAAGGCAGGGCACTTTCCAGTTTCTGCCTTTGGTGGTAAGTAGACAGCAAATTTCATTTTACATTTCAGCTCCACACTGCAATTTTAACAACAATCATCACAACCAATTAGTATTGCTCTTCTTAAGACAGAAACAAAATAATAAACACTATGTAAAAAGTAAGATAAATAGTACAGGCCCAAAAAGTGACTTAATGTCCAAAGCAAGTAATTCCACCATTAAAGAAAAATGCCTTGTCTCTTGAATAAAGAAGTGGGCCAGTTTTGCATGTTGATCTATCAACCAATTTTAGCCTACGCGTTACATGGCAGTCATTTTGTACAGAATAGATGTAAACGATAAATGCAATCCTTAATGTATCTCTTCCAATTGTAAAAGAAAAAATTCTATTTCTAAAGAGATGCTATGAAATAATGAATGAGCTTTCATAAAAATTGAATTCCAAGGGCCGGGGATTTAGCTCAGTGGCACCGCACCTGTCCCTGAGTTCGATCCGTGGTACAGGCGGGTGCGGAGGTGGGGGATTCCAAAGATCTTAAATTACATTGTTCATGGGCATGGAAAATACACTTTTAATTTGCTCTTTCACCACTAATAAATAAATAATCACAATTATTATTATAACTAGGTTTTGCTAAAAATCATAGGTATTTTCCTATGTAAACTATACTTCATATAATAAAGAATTTTCATGGGCTTATTTTTAAAAATCATACAAATGGAAGCAAACTATTCCAATGTTACCTTTAGTTAACTACAAATATAGTAAGTACTTCTACAAACTTTATGAAAAACTAGTGTTTCCCCGCTCAATCTTTTAATATGACAGATTCTAGAGATGACAGATTTACTTCTTTCAGACGATTCTACTGGTATTTATCTGCATACCCAAATAATATGCTTTCACTGCTGCTTTTCTGTTTTAGATATTACCTACTGGGTGCCCATTAACACAGGAGTTTAGTTACCTCCCTGCCCTTGCTTTCTGCACCTCCCTGCATTCTTCTTTCCCTCTCTTCTCGATATATAATTTTGGTTAATTAACATCAAGAAACTATAAATGCTATTCAGAGATAATCCATGTTGTTTACGGATTACCGCCCTTTTCCTTTTCAATGAATAGCAATTTTCTATTTTCACTCCTTGGCTGTGTTGACCTTTTAGGTGCAGATTCCCACGGACTCCATCAATGCTAACGAGAAGTTTTCTGTATGCTTCCCTCCATTCTCTGCAAATGTTGGATTCTACTTTTCTAGCCTATTTCAAGTATCTCTGTTGATGATTAAGTCACAAAAAGTTTCTGGAAGGTGTTTTCAAGTCTTCGATTGTGGTTAAAGAAGTTAAGATATTTTCTTTCACAGAATAATCATACCACATCCATGTTCAATTCCACGACATTTGTTATAAATCATCAAAATTGAGACAGTATAATCTTGTTACAGGTGGCTGATGTCTAGTTATTTTTAAATTTTTAATGTTTTTTAACACAGGGTCTCACTAGTAGTTGAGGCTGCCCTTGAACTCACTGATGATCCTCCTGCCTCAGCCTACAGAGTGCTAGAATTAAAGGCATGCACTACCATGTCCGTCTACGTGGCTGGTATCATAAGACTTTTCTTGTACACTTAAAAATTGTTCACAGTTTTAAAAATTTTTTTAAAAGAAACAAAAAAGTGGTAGAAAAAAATTTTGGAAAGAAGGTAAATCTCATATTAAGCATTATTACCACAATTTAGAAAAAAGGTTTATCTCAATAGTTATAGAATAAATCAGGTCTGCAGTATTATTTAAACAGTGGTGTCACTGACGCTTATGTAACAATTTCATTACTGACAATCTTCCGAGACTTCTATCTTCATTATGTCATTAGAACACTGTTCAATTTCAGGAAGAATAGAATCTCATACAGAGACTTGCTGTGGCTGATCTGTGTTATCACTAATTCAACACCAAATTTCTGCTTCCCTACTTTAAAAAATTTCCTCTCAAATACAGTCCATTTTATCACCTTCACTTTCTGAAAAAGACAATTTCATCAAGCCAGCACTGTCCAATACAGCAGCTTCCAGTCACATATAACCAAGCATTGAAGTACGTCTAGGGGAAGAACATTTTTAATATTCAAGTTAACTTCAATGGCTGCATACAACTACTAGCTACTGTTATTTCTGTATTTTCTGACTCAGTGCTGCCTTAATTTCACCACATTCATCCAGGAAAAATCTTTCTCTTCTGATCTTGTTTCTGATCTTATGTTCTCAGCTTTCTTGCTTTAGTCCCTCATTTTGGTAGAGCATACTGTCCAGTTGCTTCCAGAAAAGAGCGGTATAGGAACACACACAGGAAAATGTCTTCATGCTATTCTCATACTTCATTCTGTTCGATTCACTATATCATCGGACTGATAGGATGTACAAGTTGCCTTTGAGTTTTGAAGGCACTGCAGCTCTGTCTTCCTGACTCCATCACTGTTGACTTATGTCTTTGAAAATTCTTAATTCATTTTCCCTCTCAGAGTGTTTTGAGATTTTTCTTTGTTCCCAATACTCTATCTTCACTGTATGGGGGACAACATTTGGGACATTTTGAATCCAACAACTTAAACTATTCAATTTAAGAAATCTAGATTTATTTTTCATATTTGCACCTCTGTTACACATCCCTCACCCAACGTGTAATATTTAATGCTGGACTTCTTGGACTGGTTCTCTAATTTTGTTATTCTTTCTCTCTGATTATCTATTTCTATCTTGACCTAATTTCTAGAAAGTTCTAATTCTTCTATTGGGTCTTGTCACTTCTACTTTCATATTTGGAGCCTTTAGGCTAGTTTGTTCTATAATACACTTAATAGCATTTTTGTAAGACATCAAAGGTCAGTATCTTCTCTTATGCCTGTGATATTCACAGCAGAACTTCTGAAATTTCTCTCCTGCAGACTATTTCGACTGCTTTTCTCCCCTCCCCTAAGTATTTATCTTTTGAATTAGAGGACTTTTGCAGATATCTAGTAAACTTTTAGCCATCTACCCTCATTTAAAACACTAAAATCAGTCTGAAAGCATGATTCTTGCTGGGGATGGCAATTGTACAATTTTGTTTAGAAAATAACATACGGGTGGATCATTTACAAGACCTCATCTTTGGACTAGACAAATTTCTAACAAGAGCTCTTCTAAAAGCTCTATGAGATATGACTGAAAAAATAATGAATGTTTATTACAGTAAAAGACACTGCCATTAGTTCTCCTCAAAATACTTCCCCTCACTTCGAACATATCCCTCATCATTCTTGCCACTTTCTGAAGGAGCGTCTTTACGAGGTATGATCAAAATTACAGTGAGTGCTGCTGCCCACTACCACTGAAGAGAAAGGCAGACTTGTAAAAATACTGCAGTGTGTCCTCATTCAATGTATTCACTAGGCCTGGCACCATGTAACATCTTGCTCTTCCCCAAAGTGAAAATAATCATGAAAGGCAAACATTTTTAATCAATTTGGGATTTTGAGAGCCAAGTGACAGTACAACTGAAGACACTCATAAAAGAGGACTTCCAGAAGTGCCCCAGGAAGTGCAAGAATAATGGGTAAAAGTTGAATTGAAGGGGAAGATTTTGAGAGGGATTAACAGCCATGTATCTTTTACTGTAATAAATTAAACTTAAATATTCACCACAAGTTTGATCATGCCCCATAAGCCTAACTTCTCAAACTTCAGAAGCTTGTGGAAGTAATTTGGTGCCAATTTTTACTTAATCTAGCTGCACTGCTATACCTCCCTCCATCTGCACCTGGTGTTCCCTGGTACAGACTCTATCTGCCTTCTCTAAAGAAAAAAACTTCAACTTTTTGCAGCAGTTGGGGAGGGAGTGGCCTGGCTGCATAAAATGCTGGGACAATCTGGGTCTGTGAACTTTTTAAAATAAACTTGCGACTGGCCTCCCTTTTTTCTGAGCTCCATTTTTATCCTCCCAGGTGTGCTTGGTGCCTCCAGTTCTTATGGCTTCATGTTACTTCTCAGCTTTCTCTTGCTGATTTAGCTTTCTAGGTTTTGCGAAGTCAGGTAGTGCCTCTCCATACATATTCCTAATTCTAAAATATTTTTCTTAGTTCCTGTCTCCTGGTTCTTCAACCTCCTGTATGTGTTCAAGATGTATAAAACATCTTTACTTAAAGCTATTTTAGTCAGATCTGGGAGGCCAAATGCACGTACGTGTTTGCCATCTTTAACAAGAAGTTCAGGTATCTTTTTTTTAAAAAAATTAAAAGAAACTCTCAGAATTTTTAATGGCAACATAGGCATTTTTGTGAAATTTCACAAGATCATTAAATCAAAGCCTGAAGATACTCTGTTCAGCTTCTCATACCTCACAGAGTAATATAATCCAAGCCTAGCCAATAAAGTTTGGTGAAATTGTTAAACGGGTAATGGGGGTGCAGTTAAAAGTCAAAAGATACACCGTAAGAGATGGGTAAAGATTTCTTTAAAAGAGAACAAAGCAAACAATAAAACGGAATGAGCGACATCTACCTCTCATGTTCAAAAACTTTCTGCAATCCTCCAAAGCACTTGTTGCTGGAAATCTGCTTCAGTGCCATTGTTCTCCTTCAGTGAAGATTAAGCTCATTAATATCTGAAGATTTAATTCTTGAAAAACTTAAAACAATACCTTTTTCAGATCACTTAATCTAAACAAATAACTCTTTCTACCTTGAAATTTTTTCACATGCCATTTTTCTGATATTAAAAAACTTTCCTACACATCTGTTACTCACACTTGTTACTAAAAAACACGAGTACTCTGGTACATCATTACTAAGTTATTAATAAGCTTTTTTGTTATTGTTGTGGACTGACCCAAATTCACTTAAAAAAGATCTGAAGTAGCTGGGCATAGTGGTACATGCTTGTAATTCCAGCATTCTGGGAGGCTGATGCAGGAGTGTGGTGAGTTCAAGCCTAGACTAGGCAATTTAGCAAGAACCTGTCCTCCAAACTAAATTAAAAAATAAGAAAATAAAAAAGGGGATTGATGTTACAGTTTAGATCTAGAGACTGTCCTCCAAAAACCTGATATGTTAGATATTTTTCAAAATGACCGGCTTCTGGGGTGGTATATTCACTAGTGGGCTGATTCACTGGCAAGTCCATAGCTAAATTTGCTCTTAGGAGGTAGGGCCTGGTTGGAAGAGGTGTGTCACTGGGGTGTGCCTCTGGGGACACCCTCTCAGCCCCTCCCTTCTCTCTTTGCTTTCCAGCTGCCAGGAGGCAGGGCAGCTTTCTTTCACCAGGCCCTTCCCCCAGGATATTTCTGCTGGAGAGCCAGGGGACCACAGACTGAATCCCCAGAGCTGTGATACAAATTAAACCTTTCCTCTTTAAAGTTGTAGGTGTTGGTATTCTGACCCAATGACAGGAGAGTGACTAACTCAATGGATTCATTAAAAAGTTATTGATTAATTTACAACATTAAAAAATTTAATACTCTCCCTGGCATCCATAACAAGCCAAGGAATCGGAATGACTGATTATAGTTGGTTTTTTTGTTTTGTTTTTTGAGACAGGTTCTTGCTATGTGCCTCGAATTCACTGTAATCCTCTTGCCTCAGCCTCCTGAGTGTTGGGATTACAGGAATGTGCCAATACACATGATAATGGCTTGATGATAGCTGACTTTTAAAAGGGAGGAAAATGGTGTGACAGTAATGATTTTGATAGTAATAGGTAATACTGCTGAACCCCTATATGTGTTAAGTATTTTTCAATCTAACTGCTCATTTTATGGATTTCTGAGAGAAGTTATATACAAATTTTAAATTACTATTTCCCCTTTTATTATAAACAGTAAAACATAAAACTTTTAGTGAATTGAAAGAAGAGACTGTCACTGAGAAAATTTGACATTTGCAGTTAATTTCTTTTCTTTGCAACAAATCTTTTCATATTCATATACAAATAATTTTAATTTACACATAAAATACTACATATAACCTTTTAATAATAAACACAGGGGAAAAGTGAAAAACTAGGAGTCAAACATTCTGATGTGCACCTATGAAGGAAGGACCCCTTCCCATTCTTAGAAGCACAACATTAAAATATTGGCCATTAAGTCCTACACACTAAACAAAAACCTTCTGATACTAGGAACAGATATTACCACTCTGGTGGTCTTCTCAGTGAAATATTATTATATGCTGATCAGTAGAAGCTTTAACATTATAAGGTGATAAGTAACGGTGATCTTAAAAACTAATTTTGAAAATGTCTTTGCAAAATTCTAAATGAAAATAATTAGAAACCTATCTTTAATCTGTTTATTAAATTCAAATACATAATCTTATACTGGAAAACTGGGATTTGAACTCAGAAGTCTGATATCAGAATCCCTATTCTTAGCTGTCATGTTGCCCTGCCTTTCTAGGAAATCTTTACTCTCTTGTTTTTAAGACACACTAAGATTGACTAATTCTATAGGACTAAGGCATTACACTTACACAGAGAAATTACCTTCTGTTCACATTAAGTAGTTTGTTTTTAATCTACAAAGGATTACTTGTTAAATGACAGTATTCTGCAATGTATTATTAATTACTGTATATTAACTTCCCTTATTCATGATTTCATCTTAATGAAATTACAGAGATAAATACTTTATAATTTTAATATTCATACAGATGACAGCAAGGAATAAAATTTACTTGCTAAATTATTCTACAAGACAATCTGATCTTCTAAAAACAAATCAAGAATTCTGCTTTCCCAAAACATGGCATGCTGAGTATATATCTGGTACATAAATGGTACCTAATAATTACTGTATTTGTTGAATTAATAAATAATGGCTTTTGTTCTTATGCATTATGTAAACATTTTAAAAATTAACTTGTTTGTATAATTCTGTACTTGATTATTAATCTATTTTAATGAACTACAAGTAGTCTATCTCCTCTGTTCTTTGAATGTTCTTTAATTAAAATTCAAAAGCAAATAGTTTTATCTAGCCAAAGAAAAAGGGTTTAACTATATGCTTTAAAACTGAAAGCTTTAACATTTTTTCTAATTACCTGTTTCATAATTTCAATCATAAATCAAGAAAAATGCTAAAAGTCAACAAAAAAGACAAAAGCTAAAAACTAGATATGATATACTCACGATACGCAATTATGATACAGTAGGCAGTCATACTTTCAGTAACATTTTTCTATTGAAATTTAAGATACCTTAAACCAAGTTAGTAGATATTTCATTTAACTTTCAGATTAAACATAAACAATGATACTTAAATTTACCTGTCCAATTGCTATTTGCTTGTCTGTACCAAAGGGCAGATGACCTTGACGAAAAGGTGAAATGGATTACAAATAGGAAGTGTTTATCGCAGCAAATGTTATATAGTGGTTGTAGGCACTCACACATTCTTGAGAAGCCATTTCTTCTAGAGTAGGTGATCATCTACCCAGGATGGCAATATGGAAAATGTAGTGGTGGGACAACATGACCATATCGCCTTGGCCCCCAGTCAGATTACTTTAACAAGTCACACACAGTCTTACAACCATTTGGTCAAGGATAGACTGAATGTCTTATACTGCAGCTGCAAAATTCTTATCAGTTAGTGAACACACGGCTAAAGAAGAGGTAAAAGAAAAGAAAAAGAACTTCAAGAAAATCCAGTGAAGGGTTTAACAAAAGTTTCTGCAGACCTCACCATGTTTCTTAAAAATTTGAAAACCTGGACTCTTACACTAAAAGTAACATTGACAGTGCATTATCTGCTTACAGGCAAATCTATGTATGTATAAAAAAAAATAAACCAAGCAAAAGATCATGGACATATTTCTCTCAAGAGAAGTCCCAGACAGGTCTCTCAGGAGGGATTCCAAGAGCCACTATTATCACAGAGGTGACAGCTCATGCATGTTACTGCCCTTGATGACCATCCAGTGGGAAAGAGGTTGAGGTGGAAGATTCGCACCAATGATCCTGCCTTTGTGTATGCCTAGGCTCATGTGCTAGCAACAAAAGAGTAAAAAGGCTAAAAAGTTTAGCTGTACTAAGCTAACTACTGAAAAATGCTTTTTAATAAATTCAGTGTAGAATAAGTATACAGGTTTAAGAAGTCTGCGATTGTCACAGTAACGTAGTAGGCTTTCTTCACTCACTCACTAGCTCAGAGCAACTTCCAGTCCTGTCTATTCATCTAAGTTCCCTATACTGGAATGCCACTTTTTAACCTCTTACATTTTTACTATACCTTTTCATGTTTATATATACAAACACTTATCATTGTTACAGTTGCCTATAGTACAGGAATATGTTGTAGAGGCTTATAGCCAGAGAGCTGTTGGCTATATCATCTACATTGTATAAATATATTCTGTGATGTTCACACAATAATAAAATTGCCTAATAACGAATTTCTTAGACATACCCCAGTACCAATTTTGTCTCAAGACCTGGTGCTTGGTCAAAGACTTTCCTTGGGGGCCGGGGATTTGGCTCAGTGGTTCTGCTGCCTGCCTTGCAAGCACAAGGGACCCAAGTTCAAGCCCCGGTACAAAAAAAAAAAAAGACTTTCCTTGGATCAAAAGTATTATGAAAATATTTTTGATTCTTAAGTAAAAACTTAAAGTATAACACTGAAGCATGAAAAATATTCAACTGCTCAAAGTGAAGAAAACAGGAGTGGAGACTAGGAAAGTAGAGGAAGATGGATCTAATTGGCTAAGACATGTGAGGCAGATTTGTAATGTTGGGGGTTGGGATATATCTCAGAGTTAGAGGGCTTGTCTAGCATGTGCAAGGCCCTGGGTTCAACCACCAGTACTCTTCCCATAAGTCTATAAAGTTTTCTATATATCTCTACGAGTTGAGTATCTAATCCAAAAATCTGAAAATCTAAAACTTTGAGTGCTAACATGTCAGAAGTGGAAAATTCCCCTCAAGGAACTTGTGTCATGTACAAAATTATTTAAATAGTGTATGAAATCACCTTTAGGCTAAGTGTACAATGTGTATATGTTTTTTGTTTTGTTTTTGGTACCAGGGATTGAACTAGGGTCCTTGTGCTTGCGAGGCAGGTGGCAGAACCACTGAGCTAAATTCCCGGCCCTACAATGTGTATATGAAACATAACTGAACTTTGTGTTTAGATTTGGCTCTCAGCCCCAAGACATCCACTTGTATCTGCAAACAGTTGAAAATTTCATAAAGTGCAAAATCCAAAACACTTCTGGTCACGAGCATTTTGGATAAAGATACTTCTATTAGTGTTTTTTGCTCTCATTCTCTCACTACTCGGATTTTGATGCACCCAATTCCTGGTGTGCCTCACTCTACTGGCTCTTAATCTGGAGAGGTCTCCCCAAATCAGTGGACTGTAATATACCAACTGCTAGCGCTGACTACCACTTCCTTGTCCAAAATCCTTCTCTCCATAAAAAGGGAAGGCTCTGGGTCCTTCCCATTCCTGTTCTCTTCCCATACATTTTCCTCCTTGCATTTCCTAATTTTCAACTTCATTTCCAGGGTGTAAGTATCTAAATTTGCATCTCTTTATTCAATCTTCTTCCAGCATCAACACCAGATTTTGAAATTTCCTGCGAAGACCTCCCATGGGTACACTCATCACTGGTTAGTAAAACTCAACACATTTAAAATTAAGCTCTCTTCCACCTCCAAACCAACTTGATTTTTGCCTTTTTCCAGACGTAAAACTGTCCAACCTAATCTACATTTTAAACGTCTCCTTTACCCTTTTCTAAGATTCCCTAATTATATACAATAAAAACAGCCTACTGCAGTCTTTCTGGTATGTTCCACTAATAGCAATCCTGTATAGAAACCTAGGGTTTAAATCCATTTAAACATTCAATGGATTCTCCATAAAGTAATCTTTGGGGACAACGTGACCTAAACAAAACTATCAGCCATTTTTATACGACTTTTAAATAAATGCCATCTCCCAGATGACCCATTAGAAATGACCTCTGGCCTGGGATTTAGCTCAGTGGTGCAGCCGCCTGCTTGGAAAGCACAAGGTCTTGAGTTTGATCCCCGGTACCAAAAAAAAAAGGCCTCTTACTGACTGCGCGCTCCTGACCGCGCCCTTGAGTGGCCGTGGCCCGTCTCCCCCGGCCCAGACCCAGCTCCCAAGGCGCGAGGCTGCTTTCTCAGCGGGATGGGCGCCCATGCACTTCGCGTGGGGGTTGCGCGTCTGCAGAGCGGGAACCCGCACTGTGCAATGGGAAAAGCTGCACAAGCGAAGCGGGCACTATACAGAGGGGAGCTTCCCTGAAGTGCAGCGAGCCCAGCACGCCGGGCCATGCAATGCTGGGAGCTCAGCGAAGGAAAAGAGATTAGGGACAAGGCACCGCGCGCTGGGACAAGGGCCTGGCCTCGGCCCGAGTTTTGGTAGTGCTCCGACCTGGCGTTGTCTCGCGAGGGCCTGCTGACACCTCTAGCACAGGCCTCGTTTCTACTCCTACAGGCCCCCGGCTGCTACTGCTGCCCCAGACCCAGGCATCCGGGATTCTGCTGGTTCCCGGACTTACCTCGGCGTTGGAGTTTGCTGCGGCGCGCACGAAGGGCGGGGCCTCAACATGGCCGCCCGGTCAATCTGGCCACGCCCACTGAGGGCCCGCCCCCCAAGGACCGCCCTTTTCCTGGGTCTCGCAGTCCCCGCCCCTCCCTCAGGTTGTGCTCGAATTCCACTCCCAGCCGAGCGTCTGGTTCCGTGGGGCGGTGTGTGGTGTCAGACCCCATAACCTTGTCAAGGTCCAACCCGCGAGTGCCCAGATCTTTCCCCCGAGAAGGCAGCGAGAAGCCAAGGCTTTAATAAACCCGAGGATTGCCCCCGTTTAACTCTTGGAAAGTGTGTCTGTGTAACTGTCCAATTATTTATAAACCAATGAATGATTTCAAATCCCCACTATTTTCAGTTCTCTAGTGGTGCTTGGAGTTATTTGGAATCTCCAGAAGGGGACGCATAGTAGAAACTTCAATGTTCAATTTTCTCCCTTTCCTCAATAATAGTTGAACTTCGTAAGAGTTGATGGTTGCTGATTTACAGCAAAACTCCCTTAACTTTTCCTTCACTGGTGTGTACTTTGGCTGCACAGAAACTTAAACATGAATACGAATGGCGAAATGACCTGAAACCTGCCTGCTCCTGTTGGTGTGGCTTTGCCATAATAACCTTTGTACTCTCAGAACCTGTAGACTGAAATTGTGGACCTGTGAATCAGTTGGGACTCACACCTGAAAATAATATTGAATCAAAATAATGTTTTTATTTTGGAAAAGCATTAAAGTGAAAAAAACCTTTTTTACTTTCTTTTTGCTATTTTTACAATGTAAATCATTGAAAAGATAATTTTCTGTAAACAGAGTTTCAGAGCTAAAACTACCCATTTTCAAGTCTTTTAGAACTGATAATTATTTGAACAAAGTTAAAGGGTATTCATTTAATAAACTGCTGTGAAGCACACACTAACCTCTGAGCTATAAACATGAAGTTCTTTTCTAAAGGGTTTTTGTGTTAATACAGTGTAATAATTATCAGAACTGAAATCCAATTCACCGCATAAATAAAATATATGAGGTGTAACTGAAAAATATAGCGTGTTTACATTTTTAAAATATTATATAGTAAAAGATATGTTTCCATTAATTCCCCTCAATATACCACCTTGCTTCTAAAACAATTATACCATCATTCTTGCACCTTTCTTGAAGCAGCTCGTGAAGTACTCTTTCTCCAGTGCACTTCGTTGCTGCCTCAATGTCCTGAATGAATTCAAGACATTTACCTTTAGAGGTCATCTTGACTTTCAGGAAGAGTCAGAAGCCGCATGATGCCGGATCCAGTGAATAAGGTGGGTGACACACCATACTGTTTTTATGAGCTTGCCTTTCTGTTGAATGGCTCTTGGCAGCAGATTTTTTTTTTTTTTTTTTTTTTTTTTTTTTGGTCATGCCTCTTAAATAGACTTAGAGCACTTTCAGAGGCCAGGGTTCTAGCTCAACGTCCTGAGTTTGATTGGCGGGGGTTGGGGTGGGGTTCTAGAACTGCTTTTCAGAAAGTGACAATAACTTGGGGAAAGGTATTCCAAGTGAGAAGTAGGTTAGAATGCACTATAAGGTAGAGTAGGAGATCTAGAGCATGTCTGTCCAATGGAATTTTCTGCAGTAATGAAAATGTTCTGTGCCTGTGTATCTGTACTTTCTAATATAGCAGCCATTAGCAATTATTAAGGATTTTAATTTTGACTAGGACTACTAATAAATTAAAGTTGGAGGATTTTTTTTTGTTTGTTTGTTTGTTTTGGTACTGGGGATTGAACTCGGGTCCTTGCGCTTGCAAGGCAGGCCAATAAATTGAAGTTTTAACTTTATTTAATTTTAAATAATTTAAGTAGCCTGTAGTGGTTAATAGCTACCATATTGAGTAGTGTAGATCTACTAGAGATCCAAAATTTAGGAAGTTAATGGCTTGAATGTAGGTCATTTAAATTATTTTGACTTGTACTTTTTTATTGAAAATAAATAGGTGTTCAGCAAGTAAGGTTCCTGTGATGCCCTGCCTGTGTACTCTTGAGATTGGTGCCCATTCCCTTCACATGAAGTTATATTTCTGTCCCCATCTTTTCTAAAAGTCTCAAAATTCCCAAATTAGGACTATCTGCATCTTGCATTTGACTAATTTCAGAACAATAAAAATTATATAATCCTACTTTCATTATTTTAATACGATTCCGCTTCAATTTTTTTTTTTTTTTTTTTTGTACCAGGGATTGAACTCAGGTCCTTACACTTGTGTGGCAGGTGCCAGAACCACTGAACTAAATCCCCGGCCCTCCACTTCAATTTTAAATAAATTCAATTATATTATTGTATGTTAATTATGGTAATACCAAACATATATTTTAAAGTAGAACACTTAGAAAATATATACTAATTAAAAGAGATAGGTAACCAATAATTCTAGTATTCAGAGAGAACTGGATTTATTTATTAGTTCATCTCCCCCTGTTCCTCTTCCTCCTCTTATTTTCTTTCTTCTTTTGGCACTGGGGATCGAATCCAGGACCTCTGCATGGAGCTAAGTTACATCCTCTGCCATTTCATTGCTCTGTATTTTGAGACAGGGCCTATCTCAGTCACTAAATTGTCCACGCTGGGTTTGAGCTTCTGATCCTTGTGCTTCATCCTTACACAGGGCTAGAATTACAGGTGTGCATTGTCATGCTTGGAGTCATCAGTTCATGGAAAGTTTGAAAACTCTTGACTGCAAAACCTTGTTCCTGATAATTTTTTTGGAAATAGCAGTAAAACTTTTGCACTTTGAAACATGATTATTTAATTTAAAAAAAAACATTTTTGGTAAATTATGATAATTTATATTTGCCATACTATTGTATCCACATTTCATATTTTTGTACCATTAAAGAATCTCCTGCGTTATTTAGTTTTCCCATTATGGCAGTGCAATACCCGACAACAACAACTTAAAGGAGAAAAGGTTTAATTTAGATCACAATTTCAGGAAAGTCAGTAGATGGTTGGCAGTTTCCAAGGAAGAATCCTCATGGTAGAAGGCCAAGATAGAGCAAAGATTCTTAATTCACGGTGACCAGGAAGCTAAGCAGGGGAACCATACCTGAGAGGAATAGATGATGAACCATGTATAGTCGCCAAGGTCACTCCTCCATGACCCATTCAGACATACCCAGGTGCTCAGGTGCATACTTTATGAATTTAGGTGTTTCTTAATCCAATGAAGTTGATGTTTCAGGATTAATGGGCACAATCTGTCCCTTATCAATTTCATACCTAATTGTACTTTATTTCCAAATAAAGACAGTAGGAAGTTTCTAATTCTGTCTAACATAATACTACTATTGCACATACAACAGGAAACACAATACTACCTTTTCTAAAGTTTCCATAGTTCCAGCATTTTTTAAAAGTCCAAGTCTTTTCTGAGAGTCAAAGCAAATTCTTAGCTGTGAACCTCTATAAAAACTAAAAGCTAGTTACTAATCCTAAGGTACAGTCTTAGTTACTTTTCTCTCATGGCTGAGACAAAATACCTGACACCCCAAGTTAAAGGGGGAAAAGTTTATTTAGCTCACAGGCTATAGAGATTTAGTCCATAATTGGCTAGTTCCAAAGCAGGGTGGCATGGCAGATATGCGTCACAGAGGAGAAACAGTTCATGATGGGCAGAACATAGCAAAACAACAAGGGGCAACCACAGTTCTTTCTAGCCTTTGTATTTATCCTGGCTACTTAGAGCAAGTAGCACTCACACTCTTAATCCTAGTGCCCATGATGCTACCATTGCACCATGAATCAATTGCAGCATCACACACTATAGATCCAGCCACCGCTGAAAATGCCCTACCTATGATTGCATGAGGCTTTGGGAGGACATCTAAACACAAGCCATATCAGGTATTCCAAAAGGGAGTAATAAGGAAGTAGAAAGGAATCAGACCAAAGCAAGACTAAAACCCTTCAGAGCAAATATTAAGTTCTGTAGCTCCATATTTGGCATACAGGTCACATTGTGGTAAAATATGATTTCCAAAGAGCTTGGATGACCCTACCAATGTGGCCTTGCTGGTTGCAATCCACATGGCTTTACTTTTAGGATGGCTCCATTTGTCTTGCAGCTTTCTTTGGCAGGCATTTGATGTACTAATATTTCCAATTTCCTTCCATCTCTACTGTACTTTTGGCTTCATTTCCTCAGCTTTATGTACTATTCTTTCAGTGACTCTTTGCCTGACTTCTGGGCCTTTTGAAATATGTATGTGAGCCTCCATGCCCTCACAAGTTTTGAATTCTGCATCCCAGTAAAACTAGCACCATGAGAACTGTGCAAAGTTCTGCTGTCAGCAGAAGCAATAGCCAAGAACACTTGGGCTATCGGTATAGTGGCCTCTCTATGCTTGGGTAGTTGAGGAATAAATCCTGGGGAATTAATATCCTAGAAGGCCTTTCTTGAGCAGGGGTATCCCAGAGTCTTTTCTCAATGAAATGTTGACTCTTTTGCACCCTTGAGTCTGCAATGGCTGAAGTCTTGGTGGTTCCTGAGATGCCCTCAAAGCATCTTACTTCTTGTCCCTGTTTTATGTCTTAGACTAGGTCTGTTTAATGGTGCTAATATCCTTTGACTTTAACTTTGCACATGGTTCCTTATGGGCCCAAATTTAAGATTTATAATTTTTTTGTTCTTCTGTTTGACCTTGTTTCTCCCTGTAAGTCTGGTTAAAAGCACAAGCAGTACCCATGCCATAACCTTTTTTTTTTTTGTTATTGGGAATCAAGCTCAGATCCTTGCACTTGCAAGACAGGGGTGGAACCACTGAGCTAAATCCACAGCCTGCCATACCCTAAATATTGGTCTGCTTTGAAGTTTCATCTGGCAGATCAATTAGTCCACTGCCCTTAATCTCAGTTTCCCACAAAGTCTCAGGGTGTGGTCAAAATAGACAGATTTTCTGCCACAGTGTAACATGC